CTTGATTCTTTTTTAATCCAGTTATACTTTGACCGACCCGGGAATCGAACCCAAGACTCCTTTCCCAGCAGTCACACTTGCGGCCACTCGACCAACGATTCTTCATTTTTAAAGTAAAATTTTCTGCCTATTAAACGGAACTTAATAAGTATATATCTCAGAAATTCACATTACTTACAGGATTTTTGTATAAACATCAATAGTGAAATATTTTCTTAATTACGGCTACTGAGCAGCGCGACAGTCGCCGCGTAGTAATAGTGCGAATGAGCCTCTAGCATGGCTTGAAACTAGTCGAGTTCCTCGTCAAACAGTTACGTGAGTAAGGCGAAAACATAATAATTAATTTAGTAGGTCTCACAAACATCGTAGTTTAAAGATATTTTCTTGATCGTCACTAGAGATGTAAGACATGCAAGACGTCTATTACATCAACCACCTGAGGATAAGCGATTAGCGCTGCCCATGGACATCCGCAATACCAGAGGAGTCACAGGTACGTTGCCGGTCATTGCGTTGCGTCATGTTTTATTAATAGCATAATCAATGATTATATTAGAAGTACACATAGGTATATCAAAAGCCTGTAACGAGAGTGTAGAGGTATTTTCAGGAAAAACTATTAGATTGTTTTATTATTCAATGCCTATAAAATAGAACATGTTAACAGGTACACGTCCTTCCCATGTTTTCTCGGTAAACCAACAAACACCTTCGAAATAGGATTTATTTAAGAGAAAATATAAAAGACAATAAAAATAAAACATATTGGAGACGTTCTAAGAACTGTTAGCTAGAACAAATAACTGTGAAAGTATTACAAATTAGATGTCGTAAGTTTGAAACTTGATAAATCCAGGAGAACGAAGGAAATGGTTGAAGCAGGTTTGAAGAGCCTGGGACAATCGGAACTGCTTTTGTTCCTCGTAGCAACTTTGCTATTCGTTTGCTTACTGGTTGATAATTCTTAGCTGTATTTAAATCAGTCTTTCTGTGCATATGACAAAAATATCAAGCGGTGCTTCAATAATGTTATAATGACGAAAATTGTTTCGAATATATTCGAATGTAAATGCTAGCTTGTGTTATGATAATCCTTCTATTTTCGTCGACTACATAGATATGTAGATGCTTTTAAATACACATCATATCTATCTAAGGTATAACACAAGATACTCAAGAAAATTCTACGAGAATTTTTTTTTTTGGAACAAAATCGAACAGAGAAATACTTAAGTTTAACCTTTATCTTCTACCCAGAAGACGGAGGTATCACAAAAATCATTATAAAATCTTATTACTAACTCACAAACTAAGATTTTGGGAAGCTGCACCTACTTACCAAACTAAAGTTAAGAGACAAAGAATAAGAAAATTGAAAGCGACTTCGTAATACGATTCCGAATTTGCAACTTTAAAAGGATTTGACATTTTCAAAAGATCGAAAGAGGTTGATATCGAATTTCTTGAGAATATCGCAACAAATAGTGAGGTGTCCAAGTAAATACTCTTGATGGAAATGAATCTCATTTATCTGGTTGGTGAAGGTTATAATTTGTGATTTCATTACCAATTTCGGTTTGTTCCAAAACATGAAAAGTAGGTGTTACTTCTGTGCGCACTTCTGCCTACCCCTCCGGGGATAAAAGGCGTTATGTTTATGTTTATGTATATCGAATTATTGATGTAAAAAACTTCAATGAAATGTCTCTTTTTAATGAAATTTTAAATAAAATTACATGGGTACACCTATGTAAAAATAATGTGTTTAATAAGATAATTAAACCGTTTCATTACACAAATAATTAAATCATTAATTTTAATAGTCTGTACTAAAAATTGTAATAAAAACACGCATCAAACATTCATATTTATGTCAAGCACTTCAAATTAATGCTGAACGTGTAGATAAGTTTAAAAAAATGCTCTCAATATTTCAAAAGCTAAACTCCAGTAAAAATAAACTGAGCAGAGCAAAACAAAACTTTATTTGCGTGGAGGTAGAGTTAATTTTATCTTACAGTCTCTGGGTAAAAATAGTCGGTCCCCGCCTCACCTGCGGGTGTCGTTTGAGAGAAGTAAGTGGTTACTTTAAGTTTTCAAACTGGTTAATTAAGGATTGCCTGTGTTAAGTTAATGAGTGGACACGATTCTACTATGTCGTATTTATATAGGTAAATCTGAAGTGATCAACAATCTTATTTATTATCCTTACTACTATTTACATAACATAACATCACGCCTTTTTTCCCGAAGGGGTAGGCAGAGGTGTATATTATGCCATACTGTACAATGTACCACCCATTTTTAACTATTTATGTTATGAATCCCATGTAATAGGGGGTGAGCCTATTGCCAGACTCCGTGCTACTACTGTGAATTTGTTTGAAAAACCCAGTAATACCTTGCCCGACTCGGGAATCGCCCGGCAGTCGCATTTGCAACCACTCGGCCAATGAGGCAGTCTACTACTATTTACCTAAGGTTGATTTTTCCATCATCAGTTTAATTCTTAACAAGAAATAAAATTAACATTTAACATTTGACAGTTTTCAGTATGGAAAAGTAGTTCAATATTTTAAGTTATTCCTTCCCAGTTAAAATTTATCTGGCGTTTGAATAATCGGTCCTAAATATTTGTAAATACTAAAGTATGTGTTGGTGTTTGTTTGTCTTTTTTACCTACATGTAACAGCGGGACTTGTTAATAGTATGATTTTTTAAAGATAGGGGGTAAGTTACTTCGGCTACTTTTCCCTTGAACACATGGGCGACTATTTAAGTTGCAAGTATAATTAAAATTAATAAATACAAGTAGAACCAATCCGAGTCTAAATATTTAATCGACAAATAAAACAGTACCTAATAAATATGCTCTACAATTATAAGGCCCGAGTGAATAGATTGCTTATAGGACGATGTGCTCCATCGTAGACCGCATCAACGCTTACCACCAGACTAAATAGTGGTTAAACTTCGGTTCATCAAATATAAAAAAGAAAAAGAATTAAATGAATTATGTAATTATACTATAAATTAACGTTCTTCCTCATTAGTAGAACATTTATAAACCGAGTTGGGTTAGTTATTGAGTCATACCCAAAAAATCTCAAAGTTAGTCTTCTAATAGATACTTCAATTTCCTCAACTTCAAGAAACAACATCGACATAAAGTTAAGCAATAAATACGGTACCTGTGCCACTGCAACATATAGAACCATGTGTTGCCAAACGGACAGGTGCGAATGCAAACTTTTGAAGTAGAAACTTTAAATTGAGACAAGAAAAGATTGATGATACAGAATCCGCACAAAGTTTGTGTAAAGAAGGCTCTATGTCTTCATCAAATTCGATTTCGAAGTGAAGATGACAAGTAGAGGCTTGTCATCTGTCATCCTATTTCGGAGAAATACTTATTGTTGAGGGTCATTTTAGAATCTGCTTTACGCTGTTGGTCATTCAGTCGCAAGTTTAATTGCTGAGTGAGATTGTCGAATTCATTTGACGTAACAGGTATTGTAGCTACGGTGAGGTATTTTCGGTTTTTCGCGGTAGCACGCAGCCTGTATATGCAATGTGTTACATTGTACTCATGATATAACTGCTCAAAGTTGGTGTTAGGTATATAATATAATAAAATATAACATCACGCCTTTCACGGCAGAGGTGCACGCCACTGCCAATGCCACTATATAATGTAACACCTACTATTCACTGTTTATATTATGAGTCCCATGTAATAGGGGGTGAGCCTATTGCTATATGCCGGGCACAATTTTGAGATTGAAAAAAACCTATTAATAAATGTTAGGTTAGTAGTATGTGTATTTAATCAAGGTAGCTAGATCTTTTTTAATACTGTTTATTTTTCATGGACTACAAGAAGATGTTTTTCATTTTCAATATTTAGAGGTCTTCAATTCTCAATATCTGCAAAGAATATCATTGGTACCGTTTTATTGCGTAGTAATACGTAGCTCTCGGTATTAGCCTTAAAAAAGCCCTCAGAACCATTGATTGGGCCACTAAGTGCAAAAATGGTGACTATTTAAAAAGTCCGACGCAGTTTTCGATTCCAGCAAGAGTTATGACTTCAATAAATAGTCAAATAACCGTAACAATAACTACACTCCCACACATTCTCTTTCTCGCATAAACATTTCAGTTGTACGTAATGAAAACGGACTACAATAACTTTGGACATGGAAAGCCCATCCGGACGAAACTACACACGTATAGTTTACTTCCATCAAAATGTTTAAATAAATGAATAATGGTATTTTCTAACAAAATTCCTAACTCGCTTCGCTATTAAATACTTCATGCAAAAGGGTTCGATCACAAAGTTGGTAAAACCAAAGTTTACCTAACCGTAATTTTATCAGGGCAGCTGTCGCAACTGTTAAGCAACTTTCTACTATACTACAAGTTATTATAACTGCTATAGTAGCCGTTCTTGCTTGGCATATAGTTGTGTTTATAGCTGCTTATTTCCTACGGGAAATCATGGGTTAAATATTGAACAAAGTTAAGCTGTATGCAGGTTATGAGAAGACGGGGCCATTTCTTGCGCTGGATGGACTATAAATATAAAAACTGCGTAGTTTTTATAGTGAGTACCTACAAGTAGAAGGGATGATTGTAGCGCTTTTCTTGAATTTGAACCTCTGAGCATTAATGTTTTTACAGTTACATAATATAACATCGCGCTCGTCAGTCCCCCAAGGATTAAGCAGAGACATTTACAATGTAACATATACCTTTCAACAGTCATATCTTGGGCTATGCATGAAACTTAATATAACTACGTAAGTTCCTATGTGCCGAGCATGAGTAGACTCATCACAACCAATCAGTATTCTGAAGTATATATTCAACATTGCAATGCACTCACACATTAATTAATGTGATGTGATTGGTACAGGTTGTATCAACAATCGATTCAAGTAGTCCTATTGGTTAATGAAATACATTTCTAATTATCAAACACACAAACTTACCTTCATACTCTTATATCCTTGGCTTTGCTGCATTCCGTTTCTGAAACAATGGAATAGTAAAATTTTATTAAGTAATATCGTAATGTATATCAACAGAGCAACACAAAAGGAACTTTATTTCGTTTGTGTACAGTTTCATTTGGAATGAAATAGGTTCTAGAGTGCAATGATGAAAGTTATTATTATTTCATTAATATTCAGCTAGGTTTCTAGGTCAATAACAACTGAATAACGAGGTTTCATCTACACGTTCGGTGCTCGTGTGTCAGTATAATTAAAAATGGGAGAAATATTTTGTGTGTTTCAGCTGAATGTTTTGTGTACCACGTTAATTTGCAACCTTGTTTGTTTGTAGGGTTACCAGTGAGAAAAAAGTCGTTGATATTTGAACATTAGAGAAGCATGGCCGGTGAATGCGAGATGAGCAAAGTGCAAATGATTGACTCAGAATTGTGACTCAAGACAAAAAGCCTGATGTTATCATATTTTTACAATCGAACACACACACCAGATACAGTATTTTTTGAAGGGGAAAATCATCAAATGACTTTTGCCGCCCGGGTGAAGCGAGAGGGTCTCAGACTCTTATTGACTAAAAACCACCCCGTTCTTTCTCGTGCACTTCGAGCCGGAGCCCCGGTAACCTTTTACGTTCTTCACTTCTCCGTATCGGTATCAGCCCTATTGGGACCCATCCGTGGTGCTCTGAAGGCACTTCGCGCGCGGAACGTGACGCGCCGTACGCTCGGGTCTGGTACTGATTGGGCGGCCGTTTGCCGTCCGCAGGCCGAAGATAGTCTCGCGTTCTCCAACGCCTGGAGCCTCCTTCGCGACGGCAAAAACAGTATTTAGTAAGCAGACCCCGGCTACCTGACTATAGCACACTGAACAAAATGTTTCACCATACCCATCATCAGCCGGAACACGTCCATTGATGAACAAATGCCTTCCTCTTATGAGGAGGCTGGTCACAGTTTTAAATGACCACGTCCACACAAATGTGTAATGTTATTTTTACGAACGAAATGATTATAAGACTACTTCATCCCCCCTAGCACAAACATATACCAAAAACAATTAAGACCTACGGAGACTAAGAAAATTAACCTAAGTGCGTACACAGCGTGTTCCACTCAAACTATTTACAAAGGCACAGAGATTTAAGTCTGAACCCCACTTAATCGCAAAGGCTTCATTAATCGAGCCTTTGACCAAGTAGTAAGTTTCAGATGGGGGTCAGACGTTATCTAATGTCTTGAATTAATCTCAAAGTTAATGATGTTGCGTCTCAAGGTAGAGTGTGTTGATGACGTTGGTTTATAATTTGTATGTATGTTTGTAAGTTAGTTCAAAGAGTTTTGTAACTTTCTTGAATTATAACAGTTGTATCAAAGGTTTTGTTAGTACAATGCATTTGATGTTATAATACTTGACGTCTCAAACAGATTGCAGTATCTACACGGTCAATTCTCGTAAAATGATATTTTTTTACAGACTTTAAAAAAGGTGGTTTTCAGTTTGACCTGTATGTATGTTACTGTGCGAAAATCTCGCGATTCGCAGAACCGATTTTGATGCGGTTTTCAGAAAGGTGTTTTGTATACTTTGGAGCAGGTTTTAATACATATAATGATTAACCGGCTTTAAAAGAAAGAACATTGAACCCCGGTTTATTCAAAAGTAATTAAAAATTTATTTTTCTATTTGATGAGTCGACGTTTGACTCTCTGTTGGTAAGCGACTTTAAAGTTTTTTTTTCTAAATACATATGTAAGTTACCCACACCTTCATTTCACCTACAGTTCAATCCAATAATATACGTGAAATATACCATTAGTTCCACAGAAAGACAGGTAAACATACATACCACAGTATTTACAAAATGAGTAAGAATATAAGACATTCAATAATGTATTACCATGTTTTTATTAAAATATTAGTTTGATACAAAATTAATTATTATGTTTTCGGCTTATTCTCGTAACTGTTTCACAAGGAACTCTATGAATATGAGCCTCTAGCATGGTTTGAAACTAGTCGAGTTCCTCGTCAAACAGTTACGAGAGTAAGCCGAAAACAATAATTATTTTTTTATTCATAACTTCACGCCTTTTTATACCCGAAGGGGTAAGCAGAGGTTGCACATTAGGGCACTTAATGCAACTGTACAATGTTACACCCACTTTTCACTATTTATGTTATGAGTCCCACTATTGTCATATACTGGTCACGATTCCAGATTCCGTGTTACTACTGATTTTTTTTTTGTCCAATACTTTGTGCGACCCGGGCAGCGAACCATCACTCGGCCAACGAGGCAGTCAGTAATTAATTTATTTCTAGAATATATTTACGACGAAAGGTCTACAATATATCCACCAAAACAATATATCTACCTCCTACCCAATGTTACAAATATGTCTCTTCAAAGAGTTAAAGGTTCTACAATCCATTATCTTGTAATTTCACAAGTTAAGATATGAGGGTTACTAGGGACATATTATTAATCCCTGTCAGTGATGATATAGTTACATCCTTGGTCCTTCGAGACGAGATCTGTCTAAGTTTCTGGGTCTCCCAAGATGTATTATTTAGTAAGTATCAAGATGAGTTAGCTTGATAAAGATGTTTGTGTGGGGAATCATTGAAATGGTTGGCTTTCGATAACTTTAAATGTTGTAACTTTAACTTTTATGTCATTCTTTCAAATTGAAGTATAAAAAGTATGAAATATTGAGTCTTTTTAAACAAGAGTTTTATATGAGTGCATTAGGCGAAAAATAATGTCTGAATAATTATTTTTATAATCCTGTGACTATTCTATTTGAGAATGAATGGCGTGAGGAATGTAACGTCATCGCTTACCACAAGGCGAGATAGTGGCCAAACGTCGACCGACCAAATGTAACAAAATAGCAAAAAAAAATCTACGATAAGAAATGAATAGTATAGAAGAATAGTATTGTTTGTTTAGTATAATATACTAGCTACATCCGCGCGGTTTTACACGCTCTGCTCAGCTTCTATTGGTCGTAGCGTGTTGTTTTATAGCCTATAGCCATCCTCGATAAATGCGCTATCTAATACAAAAAGAATTATTCAAATAAGACTTGTAGTTATAGAGATTAGCGCGTTCAAACAAACAAACAAAAAAACAAACTCTTTCGCTTTATATAATGGTATAAGATAAGTATAAGTATAATATATAAGTTTATGAATTGTTCTAAATATATTTAAAAATGACACACAATTCAAAACATTCCAAGCCAGACAAAATCCACGCCCGAACAATCACATTTGTTCAAAAGCGGACCTACGGCACAAGAGATACGCAACATTGATGCCATGTGATGTTAACTGAAATCTATTAGAGCCTATAAAATCGATAGGTATTTGATCATCCGAAAAAAGGACCAATGTCCGACAGTGGCCAGAAGCTAAAATGAGGCCAAGGGATTGAGATTAAATATCAAACTGTAATTTTGTATACCTAATAGAATGTTGGAAAATTACTGCCTCGTGTGGGCGTCTAGCTTAGAATTTTATATCATTTAGTTAGATGGATATTTCTTACACTGTTTGTTGTAAAATACTATATAATATCCTATCTTTTTAAACTATCAAACACCGCGAGGACACCGGTGACCGCAACCTATTGTTCTTTAATTGTGTCTATAATGACGGTACTAAAAAGGTTAATATTGTGAAAGTTTGTGACGGCAAATGTTTATCACTTATCTACACAATACAAGAACTATTTAACACTGTTCTGTACTATATAAAAAGAGAAAATATAATTAAAATGTTAAACCAATGAATTTTTAAAATAAGCCCCTTTAATTTCACTTAAAAAAGATTTAACTTAGAAAATCTCGCGAAGGTAACCAACCACGTCTTATCAGATTCCCATAAATAATATTCAGTAAGTGAATTCGATTCCGAAATTAAGACCGACCGTTCGCTGAAGTACGGAAAACTGAACAAAATACTGAAAAACGCTGATAACAAAAAAGATGTCGATTCAAAAATTTGGCGTAGGTTATTAAATTCAGAACCAAAGTGGGGGCAATATCGGAAAATCATTAATAATGTTACAGGGTGCGCCTAATTCCATCGTGACTTTAGCATATTTAGCTAGATGGATAAATTTTTGCATACCAATGTGATAAAAAAGGTTATGATGATGCATATTTTGACGTCCTCCTAGGATTGTTTTAGCTTTTGTTGAAATTAATTCGTGCAACAATTAGGCAATCATCTTTGTATAGTGTGATGAGACCAAATTTTTTTATTATGGTTTTAAAAGTCAGTTTCAATTATCGACATTGAAGGTGTGTGAAAGAATCAATAGAACAATATAAACAAAATATTTCAGCCTTCTGGGTACTTTCCCTATTGACGTCGATGCGGACGAATTTTTTGATGCTCTCTGTAAATAGGATTATTCATTGTAAAATTTAACTTTGCATACCGAAAACATTAGGCGATGTATGTGGGACATAACACAACATAACATAACATCACGCCTTTTATCCCCGAAGGTGTAAGCAGAGGTGCACATTATGCCACTGTACAATGTAACACCCACTTTTCACTATTTATGTTATGAGTCCCATGTAATAGGGGGTGAGCCTATTGCCATATACCGGGCACAATTCCAGACTCCGTGCTACCACTGAGAATTTTTTAAAAACCCAGTAATACTTTGCTCGACTCGGGAATCGAACCCGAAACCCCTTGCCCGGCAGTCGCACTTGCAACCACTCGGCCAACGAGGCAGTCAAACAACATAATATAATTATAATCACCTGTAATTACCATACTACGTGCAAATAAACGTTCTTATTCTTGTTCTAATTCTTAGGTATTATAGTATTATTTTATTTAAGAGACAATATAACTAAAAGATAAAAATTAAGTTGTAAATTTTTTTTCTTTCCTTATGTTGTGAATAAAAATAAACAAACTATACAGTATATAATGATAGCTGGAACCAGTATCTAATTTACATAAACAACATCTTAGAGAGCTAGAACATGGAATGTCTACCCTTTTCATTGCATTGAGCCTCTGGTTCAACAACTGGGATTATACGGTGAAACTTTAACTACATACAACTTAACTAGTTTCGACTGAATTAAGTTGTCAAAGAAATAGTTACTTTACAGATTAACTTGTTAATACAAATGTATAGACATAAATGCAACTTCGTGCATTTGTAGATAAGCGGTGAAATATTCAAACGTTACTCAATTTAAAATCTCGATGAAGTATAATTCTGTTACTACAAATCTATTTATATAAAAATGAAACCCGTTTTCCGTTGTCACGCCATAACTTGTGAACGACTAGACCGATTTGGCTGATTTTTTTTGTTGTGTATATTATTGTCAGGAGAAAGTTCTTATGACAGAAAAAAAAATCCTGAAAATCCTACAGTAACGGGAGAAACCGGGATTGTGCGTATGAAGTCGCGGGCAGAAGCTAGTTCTTTATAAAATGACAGAGATGGCACGATATTTAAGTACAACTTAAAATTTAGTAGTCTTTCAGTATTTGTGCGTATTTCTTTTTTAAAGCCAAATAATTGCTTACTTACTTCACAAATTATTTTTGTGGATATATATTTTTTTATTTTAATAATCTACCGATTTGGTTGCCATAAGACATCTGAGATGAGAACATTTTAAAATAAAATAGAAATCAATTTTTAAATTAAATTAAAATAACTTTACCTTAACCTTTGTGGCAAACTGTCGAAACACAAATCAGACAATGAAAATACAAGTCAATACTTTCATTGTTTATTCGAGTTTTGTGAAACTTTTATATTGCCTCTGACCCATATCAATAGACAATCTCCTGATCAAGACTGACATAACACGGCAACCTCTTAAATAAACAATTACTTCAAAAAACTATCGTTCGTAAATATAAGGAATCGGTTACGCAAAATATATTTTTGTGAAAAGTGGGTGTTACATTGTATAGTGGCATTAAGTCCATGTGCACCTCTGCGTACCCTATCGGGAATAGTAGGCGTAATGTTATGTCTGATTAAATGTAGAAGAGGCCCAAAGTCCAAGAATAAACTGATGCAGGCTGCTGATGACAAAGATACCTATAAAGTTAGACTTATGGGCATAGAATTAACATCTATTAATTTGGTTTATAAGGTAATATACAAGAAACTAATTAACTTGTTCAATTCTCATTTTAAGATATTAAGTATTATATGGATTTTACTTGTCAATTTCTTTTTCTATAACTAACAAATAGTATTCTATTTTAAGCCATTGTTAAACCGATGAATTGCCAATGCTATGTACATCTTATTGTCTCAGGCATCAGACCATTATTTTGTTACTTTTGTATATTTTAAATGTTATATGTTTGTGAGGTGGCAGTACTCCTACGAATATATAAATAAAAGCAGCACGTTGATGAAATGTGTTTCGTTTTCTAGATTAAATAACGTTATCCTACATTATGAGAATAATAATAAAACCAATTTCTTAACGCACCCAGTTTCTCAAGAAACGGAAGCCTTTACCTTGAGGCCATAAAAGTATCACAAACCCATTATCATGTTCCGTCTTATTTTTAAAATGTCGTATAATACCTTGACGACAGCACTTAAAATACACTCTAGAAAATTGCCTATTAGAGTTTATTTTCGAAGTCCCATGACCACCATATCCGTTTGACATTTTTGGTCCCTATGGTCGTATGAAATTGCTTTAGATTACCAATAGAGGAAGACGATCCGGCAATTTAAAGGATCACTAAAGTCCAGTATAAGACTATCTTGACTCTTGTGGACTTACTAATAGATGAGAGGTCAATTTATACTGGAGTCAATAGTGTTGACTGCATTGAAGCTATGATATGCCGTGTTTAAAGGTAATGAATAAAGCTTGAAAACTCAAGTTAACCTGTTGAAAATTGTTAAAAATCATCCCCTAAATCTGTTCATACAAAAGTAGTCTGTAAACATTGGAAATAAGGTCTATAATGTAGTTAGTGGAGGGCGGTCACCGGTGACCACTCGGGGATATATGGGTGTTAACTTATAAAATAAAAATTGTACGTTATCCCATTTATTGGTACTTATTGCATGTAATAATTATGAACCTTGGGTCTGAAACCTTGATTGGACAATTATATTTATGTTATTTTTAAAGGAGAAAAGTATAAATTGTATTGACTCCTGTATCAACTCTTTTTTTTTTAAGTGGGGAAAATCATCGAATTACTGCTCCCGCCTGGGTGAGGCGGGAGGGAGTGTCAGACTCTTACTGACTAAAAACCACCCCGTTCCTTCTCCTGCACGTCGAGCCGGAGCCCCGGTTACCCGTTAGGTTCTCCGCGACCCTGTATCAACTCTAAGGATTGGTTTTGTTTATACTATCATTCCTAATAATATTTTATGTCCTATTAATCCTTAAAACCTTTTTGTTATAACAAGGCAATAAAAAAATATAAAGATACTTTAATTACACCAACCACTTCCATTTTTATAAAGAAAACCATTAATCCAATTCCATGGAAAGTATAATTCTTTAGTACCGTCTCGCAGTTATAAAGAAATTGCTTGGAAAGGTTTCACACTCCTCGACCAGATGGCTGGCTTGTTCTCAAACGTAGGATTAGCTTTGCTATTTAATGTGGCAATGCTGCCAGTCTTTTAGGTACAGCTAACTGATGAGGTAAAATAATGAATAGAAAAATGTGTTATTGGTTTTTTTATTAATGTATTTAATAACTGCCTCATTGGCCAAGTAGTCGCAAGTGCGACTGCCGAGCAAAGAGTCTCGGGTTCGATTCCCGGGTCAGGCAAAGAACTATTGGGATTTTTTTAAAAATACTCAGTATTAGCACGGAGTCTGGAATTTAGTATTTGGTATATGGCAATAGGCTCACCCCTTATTACATGAGACGCATAAGATAAGTAGTGGAAAGTGGGTGCTACATTGTACAGTGGTATTAAGTGCCGTAATGTGCACATCTGGCTACTCCTTCGGGGATAAAAGGTGTGAAGTTATGATATTATAAAAAGGTCAGTTTGTTACTCAGTTACATAAAAATAAAATTTTACTCACATTAATATACTGAGAAAACCAGATACTCCATTATGTAGTTAAAATATTATACTGGAAATTAATGTTAACTACCTTCTGCCCGCAACTTCGTTCGCGCAATCCCGTTTTCTTCCGTTTCCATAAGATTTTCAGGATTTTTTCTATCATAAGAACCTTCTCCTGACAATAATAAACACAACAAAAATCAGCCAAATCGGTTCAGCCATTCTCAAGTTATGGCGTGACAACGGGAAACGGGTATCATTTTTATATATTATGTTAATTGAAAAATGTACATGACTAGTTTGGTCCAAAACTTGGGTTTAGCTTTGCCAATGAATGTGGCAATGCTACTAGTAAAGGAAAGAAAACATGATCTGTTATAATTATTTGTAATGTTGTAAAAATATTTAAATTATTAATACATACTTGCTATGTATTTCTTACTGATTTGTTGAATGAATACGTGTAGCGATATCTCAGTACTACAGACAATTTTTAATAATTGATATGTGTGCTAAATAAAAAAAACGTCAATATAACTTTATAGAAACATCGTGATAATAATTTTCTTCGTATGAAATCAAATTATTCCTCAACATTCTTAATTAGGGTCCAATTAAAATTAATTACACGAGTGAGACAAGTAATTAAACGTCAATGCCTAGTCGTAAAACAAACAAATAATTCAATTTGGTGCGAAAACTTTTACCCTTAGAACAAATAAGGAACATCTTCGCGACACCATAACAAACGAAACTTTTAGCAATAAAAAAGTTGAGACGAACTCATTAAAATACTTACATTCATTGAAAAATCTTGAAACAAATCAACACAACACGATCTAAAGTACACTAAAAAGGAAAATAATAGAAATAACTTCGTTGAAATACTTTTAAATCAAACTGTCACTTTGGAGTGTGATACGTAGCGCGAACTACGGTGCTACGAGCTACGAGCTACGGGCTACGGCGTAGACGTCCGTTCTCGATCGCGATAACGCTACACTGACTGCAGAGCTACGGGAGTATATACGGCTATATTACACGCTAAAGCGACGATGTTAGGTGTAAATTTTACATTTTGTTACCGTACCATGTTTTTGTACAAAGTCAATATAAGTGATAGTACGTACAGGGTAGAAAAATATTAAGTCATTAAATTATTTTTATTGGGGTCGAATGTAAAGCGGGCATGTATTTTTGCTAAATAAAAACCGAAGTTTATTGGACGTCAGTACGTGTGGTCGCTTGACTACGGTTTAGTAAGAAACTTTATGAGTACATTCCGTAGGCTTTAGTGAGAATTTCTCGTTGTTTCCGCGGCTTAGCTTTAGACTTAGTCCTAGGTATTATATGAGTTTTCTAATCATAGTTTACACCTAGTTCTATGTCATTTGTTCTTTTTTTCATATATATTGGATTAGGAACCTTTTCTTAGAGGAATATAGTAATGTATTGAAAAGCAGGATTTATTTTAAGTACAACGGACGAAGTATTGGTTGTTGTCAAATATTAGAACGCATTGTAACAATAAAATATGTTACAATAAAAAAAAATATTAACGTGACAAAAGAATATATAGTGATATTTTAAGAAATTTAAAATCGTGTTCCTATTTATGAAATCAAATTGATCAACGTTAAGTTAGTACTTAAACAGGTCCTGCAGACGTTACCTTGAAAATATTTTAATTAATTGAAAAAACAAAAATTAATATCTAGTGATGTGTAAGTTGTGAGTGTGGGTTAACATACGGTACAAGACCTATCGGTATCTCTTAAATCATAGTCACACAAAAGCAAACTTAAAAAAAGACCTATAGGATCGAATTTAAAACCCCTTGTTTTGTATAACACAGCTATGTAATAAATAAACAATATGCAAAACAGTATCATACCGTCAACAGTTTACTCGTTAGTCGCTCCATAACACAAAAACGACGTAACAAAAACATTTTCCACGAAAACTAACATGTTACACAAAGCCTAAAAAACTAGAAAACACCACAACCGTTTACATGTTTCGTTACACAAAAAAAACCTTGCCAAGTGCGCGTCGGACTCGCGCACGAAGGGTTTTGTATTATTCGTTCCTTTATTCATTTGCGTAGCAAAAAGGGGCGTTAAAATCAACTTTGGTGTGTATGAGCCCTCTTAAATATTTACTTTATAATTGTACAGTAAGACCGATATAAACTGGTTACATACAGCTCGATGTGAAACACATAACGTGGTCTAAATTCATGTCACCGTCAATAATGTATGTGTATGTGCTTTTATCGTTGTTGTAGCTGTAAGAAATCTTAGATGTCATGGATAGATGGCATACAATTTATTTGCACTGCCCTATGAACCATTTCGGTTAAGTCTCAAGATCATCTTTCCTCAACTATCTAGCTGTCACGGTTCATGGGATACAGCCAGGTGACAAACAGAACAGATGGACAGCGGAGTCTTAGTAATAGTGTTCCAGTTTTTACCCCTTGAGTACGGAACCCTATAAAATATATGTACAAGAAAATACTCATACATTTCCCGGTCCCATCTCAAATACAAACAAAAAAATAATACATTTCTTTTGTCAGTACGGTCTACTTGGATTTCTACGCTCTATTACCAAGGTCCATTCAAACGTTTATTGTCTGTTATCTAGCTCCGTCCATCTTATTGGCTCTTATGAGGTCAATCTGCTCGCTGATTGGTCGATAATTTATTACACGATATAATTATTTTGGTCGCCTTATTTCGCTAGGCGTAGACATAGAATTAGCAGATAAGACTATGTTTTGGTATCAGGTTTGTTGTTCGATTTGAATCTGAATGAGCATGCGGGTTGATAAGAACATACTGGTATTACTTTTGGTAAGCGATTAGTGCCAGCCATGGACGCCCCCAACACCAAAGGAGTCACAGGTGCCCTCTTTTTATAAAGTTTTGCCATTTATAAAAAGAGCGCACATGTTTTATAGTTTATGTTGTATGACTTAGCCGCCGTTATAATAATAACGAAATCGCAGTAACTAGTTTTATACAGAATGTTTTTGGTGGGATTGACTTTTACTGTTTTGTTTTGATTTCCATGGATTTAAAAGACGATTACCTACAGATTCTCATGCTATTTCTAAAAATTGTTATGTTTACCGACTTCAAAAAAAGAAGAGAATGTCCAGAAATTTTTTTTCTTCACTGTTTCCTCCACCATTTGTCAACCGATTTCTAAAATTCTTGTTTTATTTGAAAGGGTTCAATTTTCCCATATCTGTCCGTTTTGTCGTGTCTCTCGTATCGGTCATTATTGTTGTACCTGTCGTACTAGTCACGTTTGTCCTATCTGTGGTGCTGTTGTATGTTTTGTGTCGGTCGTGTCGTTCTTTATTTATCATATCTGTCGTATCTGCCGTGTCGGTCGTATTTGTCGTGTCGATCGTATTTGTCCTATCTGTCATGTTTCTCTTATGTGTCGTATCGGTCGTATCTGTCGTATCGGTCGTATCTGTCGTATCGGTCGTATCGGTCGTGTTTGTCGTATTTGTCGTGTCAGTCATTTCGATCGCATCTGTCTTGTCGTTCGTGTTTGTCGTATCTGTTGTCTTTGTCGTGTCAGTCGTATCTGTCGTATCGGTCGTACCTGTCGTGTTTGTCGTATCTGTCGTGTTTGTCGTGTCGGACGTATCTGTCGTATCGCTCGTGTTTGGCGTATCTGTCGTATTTGTCATATCGGTCGTGTTTGTCGTATCGGTCGTAACTGTCGTGTCGGTCGTATTTGTCGTATCAGTCGCATCTGTCGTATTTGTCATGTCGGTCGTGTTTGTCGTATCGGTCGTGTTTGTCGTGTCGGTCGTATTTGTCGTATCGGTCGCATCTGTCGTATTTGTCGTGTCGATCGAATGGGCCGGCTCGACCTGAGTGATATGACGGCCTCACAGAAAACAGACGTGAAACAACGCTTGCGTTGTGTATCGTCGTGTGAGTGAGGTTACCGGAGGCCTAATTAACCCCTTCCTCAGTCTTCCCAAATCCCAAATCCCCCCACAATCCTCAAATTCCTAATTCCCAAAAGGCCGGTCTTTTGGGAATTAGGAATTTGAGGATTGAGGAGGAAAAACCAGACGCGTTACAAGTGCGTTACCGGTAACGCACTTGTAACGCGTCTGGTTTTTCGGGTGTCCATGGGTGACGCCGAAGCTAGTGGTCTCGACAGAATCCTCGCAATAGGTCTGAAAACTTATGCACCTGAGTTGTCTCCAACACTGTTATGTTTATGACCTGTAAGGTCGTTTGGCAGAAAACGCCTAATGCATTAAGTCCGCGTTTGTACAGTGTTATTTAATTGTACTATTTACTTGTGCGTAAAGTTATAATAAATAAATGATATGCTGTGTTGGCTATGACTTTTACGTAATACTTTTAAGTTATTAGTAGTTAGACGTCTAACTAATGTTAGTGTAGTATATTACGTAAAGGTCAACTATCCAAAAATATTCTGTAAAAAAACCAACTTCAAAACCTAAAGACAAACGAAAAGTAAAAACTCTAAAAACAACGGCCAAGTCACACAAAATTGAATAAAATAATAACGAAATCGGTATAAGGAACCTTAGACTTAGCACGACTTTGTTATATTTCATTATTTTTTAGAGATAAACTAGCAGCTCTATCGAAACTTGGCTAATTTTTTACAGAATATTTTTGGTGGCCAAAAATATTCTATAAAAAATATTCTATAAAAAATATAAAACTATTACATTTATCGCCACACCTATTCCTCCCACGAATGTGAAAAGAGCCGACTAGAAAACTGCACATTTTACAGAAAGCTCAAGGATAAACAAAAACCTTTTTAATTGTGATCTTCATCCTACTTACCAAACGTGAAACTCCCACATAAATAATTAGACATTTGAAAATGTACATACATCTGACTGAAATTATCATGCCTTTGATCTGAGTCACAACCTACTTCCAATAACTAGGTACCTATGATTTTAATCTGTGTCGCTAAGATCTGTGCTTGTTATTAGACGGGATCTAATTAAGGCGTACTTAATGTAATAATATTTAATTAAATAATTTGATTTAATGACTACCACGATTAAGCCGCAATGGAGGATATTGGTCGATTTTGAAATTAACTTTCCTTTTTGCATATTCTGTCACTAGACTACCTACTACTAGTTATGAGCCCCATGTAATAGGGGCTGAGCCTATTGCCATATACCGGACACAATTCCAGTCTCCGCGCTACTACTGAGAGTTGTTTTAAAAACCCATTAACATTTTGTTCGACCCGAGAATCGAACCCGAGACCCAATCCCCGGCTATCGTACCTGCGACACTCGGCCAACGAGGCAGTCGCAAGCAGCAGACGTATCTGCATACTCCAAGTAAAAAAGGAACGTGATATTAATCGAAGTCAACGACTCTTAGATTGTCCTCATAAATTGATTGACACGCTTGCTCATATGGAGTGAGGCAATCTTAAAAAAAATTGAATTGATTTTCTTTCACCGTTAAAAGGAGGAGGAAAATAGAAAGAAAATAATATTAAAAGACAAGACACGTTCGAAGATAACGTCCCTTAAATAGATATCTGTTATTAGAAGTACCAATACTTGACGTTTATTTAAACTTCAACTTCTTTTAGTATTGCCTCATTGTGTCACAATGGGGTGCGTGTACGGTATTTGATTAAAATCCTGCCTATCGAGTATCGAGTATTTTATATGGTTATTGTAGGTAGTTTAAAAACTACTTTTTTACTGAGCACGTGATCACAGATCTAGTCTTCTTATTCTTTTTTCTGGGTAGTAAGAAAATCATTTTCGAAATCAAATTATTCAAGCCTCGTTACGTTTAAACCACACTTCCCAGGAGGTATCTAAAGAATGCGATAAATCTATATTTTTTTTAATAAACCATTTTTAAAAACACCGACTGCAACTCCCTCTTTCTTTGAAACCGGCTCATTAATATACTAACCTTCTCCTAAGTGTAACAAACACATCTTTAAAAACCGCATCCAAATTAGTTTAGCCAATACATACATACATACATACTTACAGGTAAAAATCCTTTTTCTTGAAGTCGGTTAAAAATTGATAAAAATCTTACAGAATTTTCGCTCAAATAAGATCTACAAAATTTTAGAAGAGAATCCATGCACTTTATTACCGTTTTCACACTATATTTAAATTAGTTCCTTCTCACGTAAACATTTATATTTTCTTTTATATATTATTAGATGTTCCAACACTACTTTCCTTGGTTTTACGACCGTTTTGATGAAATTTTACGGAAATATTGCAAAGCCGTGCCAAAAACTACGAGTGTATGAGCTTATGATCTTATTATGATGATGGATAAGTTATTTTAATCTTATTTCAACATCAACAGCTTATAAGTGGCCACTACTGACCAAAGGCCTCTTTTCGCATAGAAAAGGTTTGAGCATTAATTGCCACGCTTGCTCAATGCGGATTGCCGATTTCAAACTCATAGAAATTAATAAGCCCAGGTTTCCTCACGATGTTATTCCTTAACGTTTGTCAATGGTGTCCAAATCAGCTTAGAATACTTTCTAATATAATATAAATTCTATTAAATAATAATAATGACTGCATCGTTGGCCGAGTGGTCGCAAGTGCGGCTGCCGGGCAAGGGGTATCGGGTTCGATCAGGCAAGGCAAAGTATAAGTTTATTTCAAGCGTAAGTTAAACATAAAAAAGCCTTCCTATCCAACAAAATCAATACTCGATTCGGATGAAATTAGTCATTGCACCAAAAATCGTTGAAAACGTGCAAACAGATCAAAATTCACCCTATAAAAGATAAAACGATGAACAAGCAATAAATTTAACACTACGAATTTAATAGTTTCATACCCAATACATACATACATACATATATATACTTTTATACGTATTTCCCTAGGGGAAATTAAACCACGACCGCTTAGCCACAAATCCCAGATATTAGCTATTTATCTCACGTTCGATCCTCGTTTTGCAGTAAAAAGCGTACGTGTGAACCGATCTCATAATTGTATTTAGTATACATAAATGTTTCAATTGAAAAAGTCAATTTTCTCAAGAAGTTTTAGTGATATATTGATCTGTTGAACTCTTGAACAGGGTTTTATGATGTAACTCGTTGTGGAGGCAGAATAAGATAGAATCATTTATTAAATACTAGCTTTTACCCGCGGCTTCGCTCGCGTCACAAAAGGATATAAAGCCAATGTGACATATACCAATACACACAGCGCCATCTATACCAAGACTTTTGTTTTACCTCGGGAATATCAAATTTTTCCGGGATAAAAAGTACCCTATTATTTAAACCGGACTTCTAACTATACATCTACAAAAATTCATAGCAATCAGTTTAGTAACAAGTTAAAGTGGAACAAACAAACAAACAAACTCACTTTCCGATTTATAATATAAGTAAGGATGTTAGCTGTCTTCATCATCATCATCATCATCAACAGCCTATATGCCCACTGCTGAGCAAAGCCTCTTCTCGCACGGAGAAGGTTTGAGCATTAATCACCACGCTTGCTCAATGCGGGTTGACAATTACAAACTTATAATTAGAAATTATAAGCTCTGGTTTCCTTACGATGTTTTCCTTCACCGTTTGTCACTGGTGTCTAGATAATCTTAGAAAATACATATAACTCGGAAAAGTCACATTGGTACTTGCCGTTGGTAGGTTTCGAACCGGCACTCTCATGTATAAGAGGTGGGCGTCTTAAACCTTCGGGCCACCACGACTATTAGTTACCTGTCTACAAGATCAAAATTGGAATATGTTTTTTTATTATTTTACTTCTACATACATCCACACATAACCTCACGCTTGTCGCCCAAGAGGAAAGCAAAGGCTATGTTTTTCTAAAAAAAATAATAATATCATTAACTTGCTCGGTTTATGGCAATAGATTCACCCCCTATTACATGGGACTCATAACATAAATAGTGAAAATTAGATGTTACATTGTACAGTGGCATTAAGTACTGTAATGTGCACCTCTGCCTACCCTTTTGGGGATAAAAGGCGTGATGTTATGTTATTAATTTGAATATCAAATAAACTATTAGACTGTTCTAACATTCTAGTAGAAAAAAAAAAACTATTCCGAGGCATCGAACTCGAAAATCACTCAAACTCATTTATCCTATGACCACTACGAAAAATAGGCAATCGTAAAAATTCATACAAAATTCGTCATTCCATTTACTAACACGTGTTACGTACTTAATCCGAATCATAAATCTTACTACAAACCCATCACTCCGAAACCTCAAACAAAACATCAAAAATTGTCATTTGTCAACAAAACATGAATTCTTAGTAGGTCAAGCACAATATTCCATTATAATAGAAACCAACAACACTTCTATAGAAAACACTATTAAACTGAACCTTTCTTCCTTCCCGAATTTAGGGTGCGGTCAAAACGATACCTAATTTTCTAGTGCTTAGGAACTATTTTAGGAGTTCAGCTTAATTGTAATTTGATCTATAGGAATTTGGAGAGAGAAATGGCAATACGATAGCTTACTGACTTTCGGAATACAATAACTTCTAAAATTCCAGCTTAGTTGTCCAATTGTTAGAGTCAAATTCAACTTCTAGTCGAACGAGCCATCAAGTGGAGGTCGTATTACTATCAATAGTCTGGTCTATTTTATTATTGACCTGTTATTTACAACATCAGTCAACTGTACATAATAATCTTTATATATACAATTCTTCTGTGAGTTTTTTTGTCACTGAACTTCTCTCAAACGA